ATACGTGTGGAAACGACTACGACATACATAAGTTTTTACGTCTCGGTCTCTGCCATCAGCCTTACATCCGAAAAGTTTTATGATCACGTGGTGTTTTTTTTTTTTAATGAAATATATGTATACCAGTGATGTAATGTTTCCTACCGGGCTCCCGGCTCCCGAGCCCGGTAGGAAACATCACATCACTGAGTATACTTTAAACCAAAATATATTGTTAGTATTTTACAAAAACCACACCTATCCGAACTTGTTTTTTAACTACAAAGTTGTGTTAACCTAACAAAACGATATAGTAAAGTTAACAAGAAATTCTGGTAGAGTTTTGTAAATCTAACAACACAATGTGGTAAGGTTTACAAGAAATTCTGGTAGAGTTTTGTAAATCTAACAACACGATGTAGTAAGGTTTACAAGAAATTCTGATAGATTTAAACAGGATGAAATTTAACAGAATCTTCTGGTAATTCCAACAACAAATTTGTTTCGTCCATTTTTGAACAAACGTACTAGTAGAATCAACCAGAATTTCTTATAATACAACAAAACTTTTTTTCCAGTGTAGGAATATATTTAAATATATATTTACATGAGATGCAAGTAATTAAAAGTATACATACCTTTCTTATTTTCAGGTACTTTTCAAAGATTTTTTACTCGACAATCACAGCAACTACACAGCGGATCGTGAATCACGTAACCTTATACAATGTTTAACAATGGCAAAACATGTGCCTGCAGCATGCTGCAGTCGGCACGATCTCGAGAAGAAAACCACGTGACCACGCTCATCCAATTAGCACAGGTTATGTCATTATTATTATTCTGAGAATATACGAAAAATAATATACTGTAAGAGATGTTATAGAAATATTTTCAGTATATTATGTACAGTACGTATATTCACAGTATGACTACAGAATATTCGAATGATATCATGTGCTGTGTGGGAAATAACATGATTGAAATAAATATCAAAATAATTGTTAGTTATTTTATTAGGTTTTATTTATTTTAA